CCCTAATTTGAAATCAACAGTGTGTTTATTCATTTACAAATCTGGAGGCTTTGGCTCCTCGAAAGTCATTAATTTCAATTCATTCCTAAATATCATCACCCCTAACATACTTGACCTTTCAATTTTCCATCAAAATGACAATTTACCCTTGTTTGATCAATACGAAGAACAGCAAAAAAGGAGAAAAAAAAAAGAAGAAGAAAAAAAGAAGAAGAAGAAGAAGAAATAATGAAAGGAATTAAAAATAAATAAAACCAAAAGCAAAAAGAAAAAGTCCGAATCCACTACCTCTGCTATCCACCTCTGACCACCGGCAACGGAAGCAGCACCGCCACTACCAATTCAACCTTTGGATCTGTAAACAAAGGAAAAACCAATTTAAGCTTCGGTTTCCGGTTGTGCTTTTGGTTTCCATCTTCACAGCGCTGGTGGCTGGAAACCATTAGCTCAATTCTTTCATCCCCGCCAACCCATCGGAATCTTTCACTGAAAATAAAAATGAGGATTTTGGCAAAAATATCCTTATTTTTTATTTATTTTTTTAGAATTAAGAAATTAAAGGATTATGGAAATAATGGAAGGTAACTATGGCTCATAGTTCCCTTTTTATGATGGAAATGTAGTGCTTGATGTGTTAACATTCATAATGTTGTTTAGATATTTGAGTTCTTGATGCAAATTGGTGGATACCCAAGTGAGGATTTTCGACTTGAGGTGGTATCATGATTTCTTTTTGTTCCCATTGTTCTTTTTTCTGATGCAAATTGATGGAAATCCATTGTTCTAGTTTTCTATGACTATATGGTTGCATTAAGATTCTGTCTTAGTCCGCATCTTTTCACATTAGTCATGGACGAGGTTAGATGACTTATTTAAAATGAGGTCCGTAGTCAATGTCATTCGCTGATGATATAATCTTAGTTGAGGAGACTAAAGGGGTTAAATCATAAGTTAGAAGTTTGGAGTAGTACTTTGGACTCTAAAGGTTATTGATTGTGTGGAATCAAGAATGAATGCATGCAGTCTGACTGTAGTGATAGTAAAAATAATGATAATAATGGAGTTACCATAGAATATTTCATTGTCCTCAAATTGATTGTTTTAAGTATCTTGGTTCGCTTATTTACTAGGAAAAAGGAACTGAAGAGAATCAAATGGATAACATTACACTAGGTTCCATGGGATGGAGAAGTGCGATAAAAATTTCGTGTGATAGGAAGATTTCGATGAAGTTAAAAGACATGTTCTCAGCTATGCTATATGGTTCTGAGTGTTTAGTTGTTAAGAACAAAATATCCATAAGATAACCGTAGCCAAAACTGAGGATGCTAAGATGAATGTGTGATCATATTAACGGATAAGAAAAAAAATAAAAATATATACCAACAATTAAATATGGCAGTGAGTGAGACATGTTTTGTGTAGACTTAAAGAGGTTCCCGTTGATAAGGTGATGCGATTGCGGCAGAACTAATTAGGAGGGGGAGGCTAGATCAAAACTAACACGGCCTGCTGCGAGATTAACTCCTGCCCGTTAATTTCTGAAAAAATGGTGTCTGGAAATTAAAATGCCTTGATCTTTTTGCCATTGTTAGAATCATATTGTATTGCTGAGTGATTAACTTGACCTTGTTAATCCCTCAATTGATATGGTAAGAACATACAAGATAAAGTAGAGCTTGGAATTTTTGATGAATCAAAACATAATTTTGAATAGCTCTCCAACATGAGTGAGACACTCTTTGAGATGGTGTCAGTTTGATCTTTTACCATCTCTATAAGATTTCTGTTGATATTATGAATAGATGTAACTGAATTTGCCAGTTTTAACATTTGGACATTTCCATGCTGTTTGATTTTTTCATAGAGGGTCTGCAAATGCCCCTTGTAAGTTTGAGCCTGTTGGGTTTTTTGATACCCAATAAATCCGGGCAATGATTTAAAACAGTTGTCGGATTATTTAGCGATACCATAGACTTGGCTCGACACGAAGACGCCCTATACTTTTGAATGGCCCAAGTGTTCGCTGAAAATCGTACCGCACGCGCTTG